TTGCACGAAACTTTTTACTTAATGCCATTGATTTTGATTCCAAAAGTCTCCTCCTTCTCATTTCTCCGTTTCAATTTAAACGAGATAGTTTGACTTGACATAAAATTTAAAAAAGAAAAGAAATTTTTTTAAAATGTGATCCTAAAAGTTTAAGGAATAAAAGTTTTGTGGGGCTATAATATTTGTTACCTATAAATTTTTTTTATTAAGGGTAAAATGAATAAAATGAAAAGTCTAAAGTTAAATTATTGATAAGTATAAAATGTGTCATTCTTTTTTACACGAACTAATAAGCAAAGTTTGTCATTTAAATTGAGGGAGAGTAGTATATTACATTAACTGCTATCGGCCTAGCTATAATTTACGTCACGTTAATGTCTATTATTCAAGAACAGAATAGTTTTCTCATTCAACTGTATTGTTCTAATCTTCTGTGAGCAGAAATAGCAAAAAGAGAATGAAGTTCAATGACTCTTCTCAAACGTTACAATGGCACGTATAATTAACGTAAAATCCAATATAACTGCTACCCAGGGCACTAAAACGAAGAAAAAAAATTGTTCTTCTAATTCCCGTACGTTCTCGCTGATATAAATGTTAGATCAGTTAGTGTTTAATGGAAGTATTTGAGAAGAGGTTGTTTTGTCCTTTATTGAAAAATAAAGAAAGGAAAGAGTGTTTAAAAGCACTTCTTTGGAAGATATTGGAATTTGATTGTATTACTAATAGTCAAGATTGAATATTAAGTAGCCTGAAAGTAATATTATAGCCACTGGCCTATTATTTTATTAATTAATTAAAATACTTTTTAAATTAATTTAAGGAAAATCGTTTTTAACAAAAAAAAAAGTTAAATTCAAAAAGGTGACTTTTGGTTTTAAAATGTGCCTATTTATGAAGAGATTGTTATGAATAGAATTGTAATTAGAGTCAATGTCTATCTTTGAGAGAATTTTACTTTGTGGCTAGGTCATTTTTCCCCTATAAATAGAAGGGTTTTACCCCATTGTAAATCATTCCAAAATTCAATAAGAATTACTCTCTCTTTCTCGGCAATATTGTTCTTCTGCTTTTATTGTTTTACTACGCGTTATCAGCACGAGACTCTACCGTCTCAAGAAGCTCTTTGAGAAGATTAAGGTATAACGTTTCTCCTCTTTTTAATTATGACTGACATTATGAAAAGAAAGTTCGTTGCCCTTGAAATTTCGGGCAAGAACTATATGACATGGGTGTTGGATGCTGAAATCCATGTAGATGCAATGGGTCTTGGAGACACCATTAAAGATAAAAATAAAGCATCTACCCAAGACTGTGCTAAGGCCTTGATTTTCTTGCGCCATCACCTTGATGAAGGAATGAAAATAGAATATCTCACGGTCAAAGATCCACTTGTTTTGTGGAATGACTTAAAGGAAAGATATGACAACTTAAAGTTGGTGTTTTTGCCGTCTCCGCTACTTGGATCCGGAAAGTCCATTTGATCTAGTTGGCAATGAACTGAGAGTGCTAGCTTCAAATCCGATCTCAGCCTCGTACTTAGCTTCGGCATTAGTCGAACCTGGGCACCTTATGGGCTGATGACTTAATTCGCCCATTGGGATCTTCGAATTCAAGTCCCAATCCGATCCAGTCCCGAGTGCGTGATGATACGAAAACATAGGCCGCACCACAAGCACACAGGCGAAAGGACGAAGTTACGACGAACGGGAAGTAGAACTAGAACCGGGTTTAGATCTAGAGGAAACTAAAACTCTGCCTAGGAAATCCCCACAGACGGCGCCAAATTGTTTGACCAAAAAGTTTTAAGCCCTTTTTGTTAAATTAATTAAATAAGAAGATTTGGGGCAAATCCTAGCCGGAGATAATTTATTCTAGATCTGAGATAGAAGATAGGACTAAACAAGCATAGCTGAACATAAAATTTGATTACAATTGCGATTGAATTTCATGATGTAAGAAAAGGATTGATGGCTCTAATAATATCGAATGATAATGAAGAATACATAAATGAGAAGAATCATCATTCTTGAACAAGAACGACCTTCGTACGTTTGATAAAATTGAATTATAATTGAATAACGAGATTCTAATACCTTTTCTCCTTTTATGGCAAGGAGTCTGAGATCGAGGATATTCTTCACCTTTAGAGAGATGCATATCTTTCTTTTTCTGTGTTCCTCTTCTTATGTCATACTCTCTCATGATATTTATACCAAACACTTTCCTTACCCAGCGGTCCTTAACCGGAGTACCTAAGTTCTTGGAATATCCCGTAGAATATTCCTCTAAAATGTCTAAGTGTTGAACTAGCCGTTCAGGCCGAATTGAGTGTTTGACCTCGACGGTCAGGGCCGGCCCTTCCGTAAAGCAAGTAAAGCAACCGCTTTAGTCCTCATATTTGTAGGGGCCCCATTTTTTGTTACACCTAATATACTATGTATAAGTTTAAAAAAGAGTTCTGTAAAGTGAAAAAGGTTTGATTTCTTTCTTTAACAAATATAAACAAGAAGGATTTGCAACTGCTATGATTTCTACCAAATTGCACTTGAAATGAATATCGAACCTAAATTTTGTAAGAAACGTGTGATATATAGGAAGTAACAATTTGATGCGAATGTTGATAATAAAATCTCAAAATCACTCGAAGAGTCCTTTAGTGTTGATTACTTTTATACATAATAGACAAGGCTATTTTTTCATTCCAAAATAGATTTAACAATTCGAAGCATATGAAAATATTTTTGGTATTCTATTTGGCAGTAAAAACTAAGATCACTAGATGTTGGAAATTTGAAAACATATTCCTTAATCTTGAATGTTCCTTAAATTATAATAATCAATTCGATATTGATGGTTTAGATTTATTTTCTGAACTAAAAGTATTAAGAAAAATAGTACAATTAGAAGATAACAGTTTAATTGATACATTTAATAAAATGAAAAGATTAAATTTTTTTCCAAATGCATAAATATCTTATGAAATAATATTCATAACTCATGTTACCGATGCTTTAGCGGAAAGAAGCTTTCAAAATTGAAATTGATAAAATCTTACCTAAGAACAATAATGTCATCAATTGAGAAATACTTATTAGGAGTTATTGATTATAAGAAAAGTATTAATAACTTTGTATCTAAGAAAAGATAAAAAAAATAGACTGCAAATAAATAATAAAAAATTTAAAAGTTAAGGCCCCTCATAAAGTTTGACTTTAGGCCACAAAATTCGTCGGGCCTCCCCTGTCGACGGTAACTGAATCACTCGCCGGTATATTGCCTCCTATACGTGACTTCGGCTTGGTTGACTCTTGGTCGTTTTTCCTTAAGCAGAGTTCTTTTGTTCAAATTTTGACCTATACATTATTATGTGATGTTTTCATCTTCAATTCGTTGTGATTTTTTTCTTTAACCTTTCTCTAACCTAGCTAATGAAAACGACACAAGCATAGGAGGAGAGAAGACGACATGATGTTATCATTTTGGCGCAATGAACAACCGAGTTTCCGTAAAATAATTACTTCATTTGTTGATCAGCTTGAAAAAGTTATTTATTCATGAATTGATATTAACCCCAACTTAATATACTGATAGCGTAATTATGATGATTTTACAGTATCGGGCACCAGCAATTATAATTGGGTTATATTATTTCTTACTTGATTACCAGTTACAGAAAATTTGTTTATACTTACTAAAAAGGGATTTGATTGTAAATTTTTTTTTTCATACCCAGTGTATAGAACTTAAGCTCAAATACTACGTTTCTAATACAGTTGTTAATTACTACTATGCATATCTTTAATTTATTACTTAAACATGGCATATTTGTGCGTATAATTTGATATAAGATTTTACCAAAATCTAATGAATATCATTTTCCGGGGCCGCTGCTTCTTGTAACAGGCTTTAATCATGAGTCCCTTGACGCACAAAGATGTCTGTCTCTCTTCAACCTTTGCTTAATAGTCTCTTTCTGTTAATTGCACGAAACCTTTGCTTAATGTCATTCCAACACTCCACTTCGTCACATAATTTGCAATAGCCTTATAACATGCGTCACGCTAATGTATTATCAAAAGTTCGCTTCGTAACTTTCCCAAGATATTTCACTTACCAACATTATCTATATCGTAATCAACGAATAAAAGGGAAAAAAATGATAAACAAAAAGGTAAACTTTTTGCCCCCATTCAATATTTCTACTAATGAAATAGGTATATGATATGTTTTGCACATGAAATTTGTTTTACAGTACCTAATATGATATGCTGTAATTAAGAACCCCGAAATTCACGCAGCAGGAATCCTTTTTCCCAATTCCAATACGAGTACCACGACAAGTCATAATACATTAGTACTTTATGTCTCTATTCTACTTTTTTTTTTAAACGTATATTTAAATGACAGTGCGCGTAAAGAAAACAGCAAATTAAGGAGAATTCTCGTGTTTATATATGTTTATGTTGTTCCTTCGTTAATTTTCTGGGGTCCTGGTCTTTTTGGCAATTTATTGTGGAAGGAATAGTTGCCTCAAATATTAACTCCTCATAATTATTGGAGTTCGCCTCTAAAGCTCTAAAGCTTCGCTTGCTAACCTAATTAACATCGTGATCAAGAATCCACTCTGGTTACAGATGTAAACAATTAACCCTTAATTTGCTAAATATATAAACAATCGATAATTAACAGAGAAATATTATTACCTTCCGATCGATTTCTCCACGTACTCGTTGATTCAGATTCATCAGTGTCAGAAACCCAAAAATACGAAGACAAGAAGTTGAACAAAAAAATATAGTTCACGGGTTGTATTTTTTGCCCCCCCCCCCCCCTTTTTTTTTTTTTCCTTTTTTGAAATGTAGTTACATATTAGTTGCTGTAATTTACTCTCCATCATTTCCGTCCCATATCATCTCTTACTCCTACTTTCTACCTCATTCCAGCTCAAAAACTATTGGAAAAAAGAAAAGAATACTATAAGAAAAGAATTAAACGACTCAAACTTGGTCAGGACCTTGACGAGTAGGCATGGCGGGCTTGGCTAACCACGTAGGATTGTAATCTCCGGGCATAATCACCACAAATTTTGGTTCCATTTCTGGTCTCAATGTCTGTACTGACTTCGTCGACGACTTCTCTTGACGACCGTCGTCGGAATCGTTAACGTTGTTGGAAGATGACGATGATTCTTCCGTCGACGACGAACGTTTCTTGTAAGAACAAGCCAAAATTAACAATGCTAACGCTATTAATCCCATCATAACTGCTAACCCACCAAAAAGGTACGGAACTGGAGAATTCCATCTGTGAAAACTCGAGTCTCCTGCTGTGGAAGTTGTATTATGTGATGGCTTCATCATCATTACCATAGTTGTCATCTTGTTTTTCTTTTTTTCTTTTTCTTTTTCCTTGGTCAGTTAATCTGAAAAATTGATTGCTCTGTTATGTTTGTATTTATAGAGCAAGAAAATAGAAAGAGATCGGAAAATAATGGTTTTAACAGTGCATGGATAAGATTGGACTAATAAATGGTACTCCTATAATTGAATTACAGAAATATCAGAGCAAGAAACCATTTGATACTCAAAAAAAAAGGAAAAAGTTGTGGGATTCTTTCTTGTGCTTTACTGTATTCCTAGCTGATCTATGCACTCAAATTTCGCCAGTGCATCACTTTTCAAGTCTTGTCATATTATTTTTTATTTCTTGAAATTCCATATTTATCCCTCACCATTATTCTTGTGTATACAATTTAATTTTTTCTAAAGATGCCTAATATATGCTAATTACGTTTTTTCTTAATCCTCTTATATATTGAGTTGATTGATGTAAATACTTTATTTAAAATTTTAAATTGTTAAAAAGAGATGACACTATTTTATTAGCTACACTTTATTCCAATAATCTACCAGTCAACTGAAGTACTATAGATGACTTATTGTATTTTAATTACTGTACGTACCTAAGAGTTGTCTTGTGTCATCCAATCCTTTATAACACTAGTAGCTCGTTTGGTTGGGAAACAAGTAATCTCATGATTAATTATTTCAGGATTAACTAGTTATCCTAACTTTCTATAGGGATAAAAAAAAAATACTACAATCCCGGAATTAGTTATATCATAATTTTTACCCAACCAAACGTGGGATAAACTCATTTCAAATTTAATCTCGAGATTAATTATCCCTCATCCTCGTACTAAACGAGCCCTAAGAAGGCTAACAATCATTCATCTAGTGTACGTCACTATACTCTAACAAAAATTAAGAATTTAAAGTAGAGAAAGCTTATTTTTCTTAGATAAGCTCTTCGGTCTCTTTCCAAGTTTTTCTTTTTCTATTTTAACATAAAAAGCTACTGAAAAGTAATGTTGATTAGACTGTAATGACGCTCTAAAACTATTTTAGATAGCAAATGATTCATCTAGTGTCTCTATCGTCTAATTAATATATGATATGGTCACCTAACTGTAAGCTAATTTTGATATATCATTTCCATAGAAGACCACCTCAGATGATCCAAACAACTGGCGGACAAAACATTGGGCAGATCAAGACATCTCATAATCTTTTTTTTTCTTTTTATAAAAAATTTAAAATTATTTAATACCTGAAACTCACTAACTCCACTAATTCAAATTCAAGCCGTGTAGGCCCACCAATGAGTAAAGCGCTCTTTATTATCAATTCTCAGGACTCGAACTCGAGACATCTATGTCATAATACCAAGAATGTGTGAATATTTGAAATTGGGTGCGGGTTTCTTCTCAAATGGGCCTAGGGGCCCGCTAAACGTGTGCTTTCGGGTTAAGAATCCAATTCAGTTCATGAGTTTTAGGCTGATAGATCATTTATTTATGAAAGAAGGAAAAGAATTCTTTAACAGAAAAGTTAAGGACAAATCCAGGTTCCAGAGGAATAAGAATGACTTTCTGTTAATCTAATTCATGTGTTATAAAGAGGAAAACAGTCTCTTAATAGCTAAGCAATCCTTAATCTCACGTAATCCGGGGTTCATTAAGTAATCATTTTCCACCATGTTGTATATTACCATAAGAATCATTTTCCTAGAAGAGAATGGACACAGTATAATTGGCTTATGTCTAAGATAATCCCTCTTGAACATTTTTTCCATGTTTTTTCTCCGACTAAAGATTAACTTTAAGAAGAACCAATTAATCAATGAACATCTTCTTTATATATTTTAAATTTTAAGATGCTCCCTTACGTAAAAGAATTTGTTTGATGGGTACGTGTTTATGAGATTTGAATTAAGGGCTTTATATATTCTACTATCATATTGAATTGTGAGAATAATCATTCAAAAGCTTAATTAAAGTTCAAGTACTTTAACACAAAATTGATAAGGAGTTAGGTATACACAACTCTTGCTTTAGAACAAACTCTAAACATTTGCCGAATTATTTAATAATGAGTTCTGAGTGCTGTCTCGTATGCCAAAAAAATCCTGTTCATTTTTCAATGCCCACTACAATAAGTTAGATGAATCGCCCACTACTTTTATTTTCCCCAGTTGGGCCAGAAATCTACCATATTGAACATGTGATTAACATTTGGGTTCAAATCTTGAGAATACAAAGGCAAAAGCTTTCCAATTTAGTGGGTTTTATTCAGTGGAAATTGAAATTAGTTGTTTATTCAGTGGTTAACTATATTAATTTAACTATTTCGCCACCACTAACCGAAAATCGACCTTTCCTGCCCAAATAACTATTATGCACTTAAATTTTTATGCAAAGAAACACATGTAAAGTTTGGAAAAGGAGGTGGAAATGCAAGTTGGAAGATCTAGAAGAAGGGGGCAAAAGTATATATACTGGCATTTCGAAACACTAAAGGCAGACTTGTTTTCCAGTTGCTCATGATAATGAGTATTATTTTAGTCCATGTGATATTACAAAGTCAAAAATTGTATACGGTAAAATTATGTGTAAATTGTATACGGTAAAATCATGTGTCCCCGATTTTGTAGGCTCGAGGGGTCGCATCGAAAAGCAAATTAAATCTAGACCGGGCTCGAGCCCGATGGCAGAATACTATACTTAAAGATCAGAGTGCTCGATGAACACCGAGGCCGAGTACGACCAACCTCGAGATAATACCGTTATGGTTTTTATAACAGAAAGAGCAAGATTCCCACGGTGGCCCTAAGATCACGACGTAAATTCCGGAACGGATTTGTACTAGGCGGTTAGACAGCTGTATAATAAGTACTACGATTATAATTGTACCTTATTTAGAGCTCCCCTACTATATAAAGGGGACCACAATCATTTGCACTACTAGAAATCCGGAATTTAGCGACCAAAATTGTCATGACCCCAACCGGCCCGGTCGTGATGGCGCCTCTCGTGAAGACAAGGTCAGCCGACACAACACTCACATTAGCCCCTTAAGCATTAAGAATCATTTTTAAGCCTTTAATTAAACAATGTTTCATAATAACTTCTGAAATAACAGTGCAGACTAAAAATACAAGCCCGACCTCGGGGTGTCACTAGTCATGAGCATCTATCAAGATCTGAATACAACAAGAAGTCTAAAATAATATACTAAATACAGTAATAACAATGTGAGGAGGGGAGCGGTGCTGCGAACGTCATGCAGCCACCTGCTAACTCTAATGACTCCGCGCCTGAGCAAATCAACATCCGCTATCGGGTTCCAATATACCTGAATCTGCACACAAGGTGCAGGGAGTAATGTGAGTACTCCAACCCAGTAAGTAATAAGAGTAAATAAAGACTGAGCAGTAGGAAAAAATGAATCCACATTCACATTAGGCTCAATAAACACAACAGGCTTTCAAATCATAATACGAGTCAACCTTCCTTTTTAAAATTCAGCTTTTAGTAAAAATTATTTTTGAAATACTTTCCAGCAGGTTCAGTAGGGGTTTAATACCATTTAAAGTAATAATAGAGATTAAAATCATAATCAACCCCTCGGGCAAAGCATAGTTCGTGAAATAGCCCCTCGGGCAAAACAGTAATCATAAACACTTCATAACTTGAAAACCTCGGTGGAAATAACCAAATTCCAAATTAGTGATTAATTTCTGAACATCTCATAAACCCCAGTTTAAATAAAAGTTATTTTAAACATTTGTTCAACATTCCGACAGAGGCTCAATATAAAGATGAGTGAAAACAGTCAATAAATCAACATATTCGATAGAAACTTGCTTTAAAGAGGGGTGAAATCAATAAGTTCATAAACAGGCCTCTCAGGCAAACATCACTCATATGCATGTATATATCTATCGCCCCTCGGGCTAGCCTCTCCGTCACTCGTGACTCAACTCTTACCAATCAGTACTCGTACTCAGCATTCACGATCAATAGGTACCATATAGTAACCGCTGCGGCGTGCAGCCCGACCCATATATATAGTAACCGCTGCGGCGCGCAGCTCGATCCATATATCGCTGCGGCGTGCAGCCTGATCCATATACTTCGTCGACGGCGCTCATTGGAGGTGTGTAGACTCCGGGAGGGGCCCCTTACGGCCCAAGCGCAATATTGTTGCGGCGTGCAGCCCGACCCATATAAGTATTGCTACGGCGTGCAGCCCGATCCGTATCCATATATATATTATATATATATATATATATATAATATATATATAATATATAATATTATAATATATATATATATATATATATTTATATATATATATATATATATATTGCTGCGCGCAGCGGATCCATAGATACATAATCCTCACAACTAGCCCTCGGCCTCTTCTCAGTCATTAACCTCACCATCAGACTCTCAGTATATCTCAGTCATCAATCTCACAATCAGACCCTCGGTCTATCTCAATAAAACAGGAAACTCAGCCCAAAACAGTTTCCACATTTTAAGAATATAGTGATAAAGCCAGATTTGAGTAATAAACAGGTAACACATGACTGAGGACATGCTTTCAAACAATTAGGGTGAGGATAGATAGTAAAAATGCCCCTAAGGGTCTCAACAAGTCGGCACAAGGCCCCAAACATGGCATACAACCCGAAATATAATAACATCAAACAATTAACTATCAAATACGCATCAAAGTACTCGTTCGGGAAGGACTAGGTCACAATCCCTAGCGGTGCTCTACCCCACGCTCGTCATCTAGCGTGTAAGTCACCTCAAAGTAACACAACGATGTGTAATCCGGGGTTTCAAACCCTCAGGACAGTATTTACAATCATTACGTACCTCGAACCGGCGAAATCTCTAGCTCGCGACGCCTTTGCCCCTCAAATCGGCCTCCACGCGCATCGAATCTATCCAAAATCAGAACGAATACATCACAATATGCTAAGGGAACAAGGCCCAAGCGAAAGCAATCGAAAAATA